CCGTCTGCTCTTTCCAGACCCAGAACCCACGGAACCTCCGACGCTTTATGGTTATTCCGTGCCTCAAACGAATCGAAAGAAAGAAGTCCAAGTCTCTTGTTCCCGAGAACGAACGATGTTTGTTGCTGTTAATTTAACGCTAAATGAAGTGCGAAATTACAAAATAAAGCCCCGCTCGATGTGAGGTTCGTTTGTTTTGGCTATGAAAAATGAAATCCGGTCTTGTTTCTCTTCAGCCTCGCACAGCTTGACTCATTCTGATGATTCTGGGCCCCGCCCCCACTCAATAAACAAAATATAATACAACAAAGCCGGAGTGATGAGTTTGTTATTCGAGAGGGCGAAATTAGTTTCTTTGTGAATGCCTTTAATTGTTCGTCCGCTCTGGGAATGTCATGATTGGTTTCGGGGACCCTCCAGCGGATCGGAGGAGTGCGGTTCTCCATTCGCTGCTCTCGGTTCTCGGTTCCCTGTTCCCAGTTTTCGGTTCCAAAGGAAGCGGGATTTATGCGACGGCAGCATTTCGGGCGACACTTTACGCCTCCCTGATTACACACGTGCGGCGGAAATGACAGCACGACAATTTGAGGAAATGCGAGCCTGATAAGCCGGGCCATTGACTCGGGTTCGGACTGTAGTTGTAGCTGCACTGGGGGAAAAACATTTAATTGGTTTTGTATTTTGTTTGTCAGTAAAGAAGGGGAAAGTAAGAAGGGGTTCTCTTCAAAAAAATAATACCAAACATGACCAAGCCTCTTTTTTTGGGGCTACAAACAGTTTTGTAAACAAAACACTTGTATTTTATTTCGGTAACATCCAAGTAGGATCAGAAAATAATGAAGTAAATTTAAACAAACTTGACAAGCACAGTTATACCATTTTCTCTAAAAGAAAACGGTTTCATGCTTGCCTAATAGCTGATAAAAACCACTGCTTTAAATACCCAACTGCCCGAGTATTCCTCGCTGTGTAAAACAATCAGCCAGCCACGGCGACCTCAGGTAGGCACTAATGCACACTTAATGCACTCCCTCTGATAAGAGGAGAAAAACACAGGTAGACCGCGACTGAGTCACCCGAGCCAACTGGTAATGACCAGCAATTGCCCAACAAAACGCTGCCATTCATGGCGAGTCCTGTCCAAACAATTTGCCCTGTCTATAAATAATTAATGCCCTCGGGCCAGACGGCAAATCGGGAAGCGGAGGCTGAGCGCCTGCCAATTATCAATTCAGCGAATTCAGTCTGCGACGCTCCTTTGAATTCTTCGGCGATAATTGCACAGAGAGAAATCTGTATAATCGATGACGCAACTTACTTTTAAATAGTTTGATATACGAAAGTTCAAAGTTTTGTTAACCGAATATATCTTACTATATATTTCAATTAGATTCTCTGCATTTAATAGTTAATATCTTGAGTATATGGATATTTTTCTTTGTGTTAATACCGAAGTCATCTTGAGTTGAAATGTTAACCCGGCTGGAGAACATGAATATCGATGATGGCTCCCACTCCTCGCATGATGAATCAACGATTGGCAGCGCTCCCCTCAATCCTCCCCCATCCCCTTAACCCCCTTAACCCCTGTTCCCCACCCATGGCTGATTGCTCCTTGGCCGTTCTGCCGCTTTTTCTGTGTGTGCCGGAATAATAAGCAGAAAATAATGCACTCCCTCCGGGGACTGCTCCCAGTCCGAACTCCAAGGGCAATCAAAGTGATTTACTCGCATCCCGGTCGACTCATCTGTGTGACCTGTGGCAGCTGCAGTTGCGCCGGCCGGAGTTTCAAACATTTTTGCATAATTTATGCAATTTTAATTTCCAAAAGCTCGACCGGAGTCATCATTATCGCAGCGATGGCCACAGATAGTGACGAGTTTTTCGAGCGGGGTGCCGGGCGGGTGGAATTTGCACTTTTGCCTTTTATATTACTTTCCCAAAAATTTATATCTGAGGTCGCACGAAAGTTTGCCCTTCGTTCTGTGACCTCCCTTTCGCCTCCCCTCTTCACAATCTCAGCCCACTTCTGTTACCAGTTTGCATTCAATTTTAGCCCTCCGTTCGTCTGTCTTTCTGTCGTTGTCATCGTCATGGCTGGCTAACAGTTTTCGCCATTGTTAGTCACCCAGCCGGCCCCTCCCCCATTTCGCCCATTTCGCCCAATCTTTTTGGCCCTGTCTATAACTCGGTGTTTGGTACACCTTTCTCTGTTTGCGGCTTTATGGTCTATGGCCACGTAATTTACCTGTTTCTTTTTTTCACCCCACCGCATTCGGAATCGCAGTCGTATTCGTATTCAGATTTAGATTTAGATTTTCTGCAGAATTGTTTCCGAAAAGTTCATTAGAAAGTGTTTTGTCTGATGCGGTGCCATGAACAACTGAAGCTTCAACTATTGCGGCACGGTCATGGTTAAGCTACACTGGAAGAAAATGATTTTTTGTTTGGAAAATTATTTTAGTAATTATTTAATTGCATTCGTTGGTTCTACTAAATTGGCTATAGTTGAATTAAATAGTTTAATGGAATTGAATGATAGAAAAAACACTTTGCAAGTCATATGATTTTTTTATTGATTTACTCATGAAGTTTTTGTACCAATATAAAACATACTTAGGTGATTTTTTCTATTAGAGGGGTTACTATATATTTTGTTTACATATCTATTTTTGGTTAAACTCCCTTTTGTTTCCTAATTTTCTAAGCAATTGTCTTCGCTGTACAAAACTGTTGGCCCTGTGGCAACTTCCATTCTTTGCCATAGGTCAAGTCAAGTTGGAGTTTCTTTTTTGTTGGTTAGCCAACTTCCCCGTCGACCCCCTCATCCCATTTGATTTGCCAACGGCTCACGGCCAGTTGATCCGAGTCCTGTTTGCAGGCAGTCAGGTGCTAATTACCCTGCCACCCGAAAGGATTCCATGTTTGCCCGCGGTATCTTGATTCAGCCATGGCCGCAAGTGTTTTTGCATTTAAGTGTTTGCGTTGCTCACATTTGGCTGTTGTCGTTAACAATGGTCGCTTAATTAGCTTTTGACTGAGGGGGCGGTTGGCGATTGGCGGTGGGTGGTGGGTGGCCGCCGGGGGAATGTGTAATTAATATTCAATATGTGAGACCAGCTCGTTCCGCGACTATCAGCAAATTAATAGTGTTTGGCTTGACTGCTCGCCCACTTTCCAATGGATATACATATGTACATATAGTATGGAATGTGTGTCTGTATCCGGAGGCACGCGAGGAGAACCGCAGCTACCACAACAATTCGAAACGCACGAGAGTGAAACAGAAGCCCACTGAACTGAGCGGAACTTAATTATCAAAATCACGCAAATATTTACCCAAATAATTTGTCAACTTGACACGAGAACTTAAACTTAAAGCGACGAATGCGGTGGCCCCACGGTTCAGTTAGCTCTGCGCCGCTTAAGGATATGAGACCACTCACCATCCTGGCATAAAAAGCCACTGAGGCGAGCATAATCCTTTATGAAATTTGTTTTCACCTTTCTGGCTGCTTGCGGCCGCTTTTCGAGCGCCTTTGGCTGTTGGCCATAAAATTAAAATTTCTTTACAAGCATTAAACGCTAAATGAACCTGAAAATTACGCAAATCGCACAGGCCAAAGCAGGCCACACACACATAGCCGCTGAGAGCTGGAAAAAGAACAACAGGGCGGCGATAAAAGTGGGCCAAAACCTCGACAGCAGGTGGAAATGGGAAACGGCGAAGTGGGGAAATGGGAAAGCGGGAAAATGCGGAAATGAGGGGTGGACGAGTTGACATTGACATTGCGGGGTCGAAGGGATGACAGAAAGCTTTGCGCGGATTGAACGAATGAATCTGGCAACAAAATTTCACGCCTCACTGTGCCCTCACACACACACATACGCACTCCCCCCGAGCACAAATACAAACGCAAACACACACATCCTGTTGCCAAGTATCCGTGCGCACGTCAAATTATGACAGTCGCTGGATTAAGGACCACCTGTCTCCTTCCTCCTCTGGCACCCACTTTTCGGAGGGGAAAGGACAACCTGTTTTTGGGCCAGCTCACAAATTTCGTTTCCACTAAATGCAAATACCTTTGCCAGCGGAAAAGGGCAAAGGGTTCGCCAGGTTGAACTTACACGGATGACTTGTTACTGCCGCAGTGGAACGAAGGAGCTAAAGAGATTACCCTGCCAAAGAAGGGGCTTAGCACCTAGAAGATGGAACAAGAAATCACTTTAAAAACATTTTTACAGGATACCAAAAATACTTAAAAAGAGCTTAAGAGCTTCACTTATATAGAAATATAATTAAAATGTAAACAATAATTTAGGTAGAAAGGTTTTAGCATGCAAGCATTCTTTTTAGGTAATTCAAATGTTAAACAGTTTTTCGGTTTCCCATTTACAAACCCTTTTTTTGCTGTTGAAGGATATCGCAATGTTTATCAGACACAAACTTTTGGCTTTCTTCGGTTCGCTCAACTGGGGAGCGATGGCTCATAATTTGCTTATGCGTGTGTACATGTGTCTGTCGCCCTCTGTTTGCCTCCTATGAATATAGATTTTCCGTTCCGCCCACTGCGTTGGCACAAATATGCGTCCCGAGCCATCGGAAAACATGTTGTCCCTAAAAGCAGAACACGCAGAGGGAGCCGAAATCGAAGGAGAAGGAAAAGCAAAGGAAACCTTGGCACAGAGGGACCCATTTTCGTAGCTTTTCTTTGGGGTGTGGCAACATAAAGGTGTTGACACATTCTGTGTTGATTCTTATTGGGCTCTAAGCCGATTTTTATTCCAGACGAAGACACACACTTACACACACTCACACACACACTAGCAGGCGAGTCTAATGGGATTGTCCTTGGTGGTTGGGGATGGGAAGTGGGTGGTGTGTATATTTTTGGGCCTGCAATCAATTCTCATTTGGCTGCCTCTTTTGTGTTTGGCCCAGCCGACTCCTTTTATTTCCCCTGACTAACCCGAGTGCATTTTCCTTCTGCTTCCAGGTAAGCCAAGTGATGAAATCGCACAGATCGCGAGTGGAGAGGCAGAACGCTTTCTGGTAAGTTGCCTCCGGGGTTCCCACTGTGACAATGCCACAAAAATACTCGGCAAGGTGTGCATTCTAACGAAAAGTCTGGCCAAGTCGTTGCACCTGTTGACGGTTAAGGGGAAGTCACAACAAAAAGAAAACAGCAGAGTAGGTATATAAACCATTTTCGCCAGATGAGGGACACATTTCGCTGGAAATTTAAGCGGCACTCGTTCGAAACTTAACAGTTCGCTCTGATAAATCTTAAGTGGGGAGAACAGCACAGAAATACTCTTGCAAATAAAACAAAATGAAAATCTAATTTAAGGCGAGCCAAGCCAGCCGGGCGTCAATAATTGCCCCGAACTGAAATTATGCTGGAAGATTAAAGTCATTTATTATAATTTATTTATTTTTGTTTTCTGCCCCGCCGTTGCCATGCGCTCGTGTGGATCCAAAACGGACAAGCGGCACTGGGGCACAGGATCTCGGGCAGGACGGTCGTCCTTCGTCCTTCGCAATTACTTTGAAGTGGCGCACTAGCCCAACTATGTACTCGCAGGGCCGTGGCGCCCCATTAAATTTGCCACACTTCATTGGCTCGCACAGAAATAATAATTTATTATTTAATTTCGCTCGGACAGCGGCGGCTGCTGTGTCCGGGGGCGTGGCACTGGGCGGAGTTGCTTTAAAGTAATTAATTTCGGGAAGTGTCAAAGTTGCTGCACGGCCACGCCAAACTTTTCGTCTGGCCGTGCAGGAGGATTCCGAAATTGGAGCGCTGGTAAATGTGGAGGTGGAAGTGGATCCGGATGTGGCCGGGGGTCACTTTTTAAACCAATCGAGCACTGCAAAAAATATAGCTTTCATTAAAAGCGATGCGGGAAAACAGCATCGACCTGCGAAAGTTGAAAATACTTTTGCCATTTCCACTATTGAACTGCATTGAACTCTTAAACTCACGTTTTATATTTATTATTTTTGTTTACTCTTTAAAATAATGATATCAAGAACAGAAAAACAAGTTAAAATAATCAAGAGCAAATTACTGAAATGTCTAAAACTAGTTAAAGGAAGAGATTGAATTAATTAGGTTTCTTCGTTGGTTAATATTAATCATTAATGGAATCAGGTGGTAATTAAAAATGCCTGATGTAAGGTTATGGGTTATCAACAACATATAATTATGCTGTTATAAATTGCGGTTTTTTTCTGTTAAAATTAACCACTTATTGAGAACGTGACCAATTTTACTGCCATTGTTTTACAACATCAGAATTATGACATGTATTTTATTGCGCCTGACCGAGAAGCTATCTAGTCTGCAGGAAAATGTGTTTGATGGTATTTTTAAACATGTACTTTCCATAATTAAAGCGCGAGTCTTGTGCCATTTTTTCAAAACGCTCTTCGTGTATTTACTGTTTGCTTTCCCCGGCATTAGAGTTTCGCTCGGAACAGCTCATCTGCAGCTTTTCCGCACGTTTTTCCTCTGACCTCGCCTCCGGCTGCTCGGGAAACTCGGGAAAGTCGGGAGAGTCGGGGAACTGCGGCAGCAGCAAGTTAATTTCCACTCGCGATTGGCCGGTGGACAGTGTGCACAAAGACAGAAAATAAATACATTAAAAAATGTAAATTAATTTTTAATACGCCTCCGTCCCGCCGGCCGAGCAGTTCATCATCTTCAAAGCTGCAATTAGCCTTTAATTTACGATGTGCCACGTCCCTGAATATGTTTTAAATGTATTTAGGTAGCCGGGCAACGATCATAAATTAAAGGCGCCCTTTTTGCCTTCTTTTATCTGCACGGCAGTCTTGTTGCACAATCATCTAAATGCGTAAATTCTCGTAAGGTATTTGCTTAGCATTTTATGGCACTCGCAGGACGGAGACAGGAATCCGGGGTGGCCATTATTCAAGGTAATTTAATTTGAAGGCAGCCCCAAATCGAAATCGAAGTCTTCTCGGCTGTCAGCCCTCGAAATGGGGAGTGGATGGCCCAAACCGCAGGAGGAATGGCCATAACCGAGCCAAATCCAAACAAATAAACGCTTGACCCACTCCGGCCAACAATGAGCAATGTGCCAAATGAACGGCCAAAGTTCAGCCTCAACTGGAAACTGGCAACTGAGCAGGCGAAAACATTTTAAATGCAAATGAAGTGCCGCACTTAGAAAGCCGTCAGCTGAGGAAAAGAGTGTTGGGTGGTCAGTGGGTGGTGAATGTTGAGTGAAAAGTAGGGGGAAGAAAAAGGGAGAAGGAAAAAGGAGATGGGAGATGGGAGAACGCTGAGAATGGCTGATAAATTAGAGAGCCCGGCACCATGGCTCGATTTTAATAAACTTCAAGCCGAAAAGCAGCAGCAGCTCGAAAGTATGTCAAAAAGTGCCTAAAAGCAAAAACAGCCCCTCCACTCAATCAGCCCTCGAGCATCTCCCCTTGAAATTGCAAAGTTTGGCAGCGGGATTCAAAACGTATTTTTATGATAGAAATTTTTAAAAACAATTTTTTGTTTCCCAGCTTCGTTTCCCCCACTCGTTTTCTCCGCTCCCCTCCCCAAATATAAAGTGTCCGTTGTCCGGGAAAATCGCTTATGGCTCCTGACTGAACAATCTAGCAAATTGAAATACTCGTAAATATTAATCAGTGGCCACAGGACAGAAGACTTCTAGTCTCCGAAAGCCCGGGATGGGTCAAGTTGTCAAAACTTTCGCATACATTGAGCAGAGCTTAGGTTGTGATAGACTCTGGGTTTGCTCATTTCGAGGAATTCGCGTGATTTATTTGTTGCATAACTCGACCAAGACGGACCAAAGTAAACTGGAGTGGAGTGGGTCGCGAAACTTGCAAAATAAATTGAAAGCAACAAAAGTTTGTCAGTCGCACCGAGCAATGTGGAGTGGAGTGGAGTGGAGCGGAAAAGTTTTCGCCCTGCAAGTAATGTACTGTGGAGGCGCTTGTAAAAAATTACTTGCATACTTTTTGGCGCGCTTATAATTGTTTTCCATTCCCGTGTCCCCAACAGTCTAAGTCGAGCTTTTGCAAGAGTAAGACGTGTTTTTGGTGATCTATCAAGTGTACTTGAATAAAAAACCCCAAGGCTTTCGGGTAGTTCCATCGCTGTAGGACTGCATTTGTCCTACCGATCTTCACGTAAGCAATCCCCAAGTGAATCAGCTATAGGTGATTCCACAGTTTTCTCACAAACACTGGGCCCCGGCAATTGCTGGTGGTCCACTGATCTCCACGAGGCGATCTACTGTTGAAGCTTTAAGCTCTCAACCGGTTTGTGTCTAAGCTAAGCAACAGCGACACACTTCAGAGGACATTTTTCCTGCATAAGTCTAGGCGGTCGTAAGACCGGCTTAGCATTTATCTCCCATTTTAGTCAATTACTCAACTTTATTTGGTAAAGTTTTTGCTAATTGCTAAAAATGGACAGATCTCACCAGCAACAATCCATCGATTTTGAAGCGATGAGGAATGCTGCTGGAGCAACTCCCGCCGAACTACGAGCTAGTCTACGAGACAGTTTAACGGACAGCTGCTTAAATGCTGGCAGTACAACCAGATGGGCTCCCACAAGCTGCATCACAACCTGTACTGTGACGTCCTCGATCTCATCTCAAATGACGTTCACAACAAGCTCGAATGGCAGTTTGTGTTCCGCTGCATCCAGTACGAGGCATGATCCTGCTTCTACTAGCACACCATCATGCAACCCCACTCCAGGCTGGCAGAAAGTCACCGCAAAGCCAATCAAAGGAGCCGCTAAGAAGAGAGCAGGTACCGTTCTCTCTCCCAAGGTCAGGCAAAAGAAGACTATCTTCTCCGCCAATTCTGGAAACCGCTTCATGACCCTAAGCGACGAGGAAGAAATGGACGTCGGGCCTTCCACTTCGCAAGCCGCGACAAACCGCGCCACAAAGAAGTGCGACGCAACTTTGCTGCCGGCAAAATCCAACAGCTCAGGACAAGCCGCCGCACCACAAGCCGCTCGATCTCCCAAGGTCCCAAGGATTATGGTTCCTGGTGTGGTCAGCTACTCTGCTTTCTGCAGTGAGCTGGATGCTCTCATTGGAAACAATTACTCCATCAAAGCGCTGAACTCAGGTGACTGTGCCGTTCAGTGTAACTCCTCCGACGCCTACAGGATCGTGGCCAGACACTTCCGCGAAAAAGGAACTGTCTTCCACCACCACCAGCTGCCAGAAGACCGACCCTTTCGCATGGTAATGAGAAACATTCACCATGACGTCCCATCGGAGGACATCATTGAGTGCCTGCAGGAAGAGGGTCACTGCGTTCTGCGCATCTACACCCCTCGAAACAAAGCAACACAGCTTCCGCTCAACATGAGGTTCGTGGACGTTAAGAAGGCTGACAACAACAAGCTTCTTAAAAACATCACTGCTGTCTGCAGACACATAGTGTCCTGGGAGAAGCCACGCAAGCAGTCCGGTCCTGTACAATGCCAAAGATGTCAGGAATACGGACATACAAAAGCCCAAAACCCATCTTTCTGCAAACGTTGGTAAGGAATCATTTGCGAGTGTAGCCAGAAGAAACCTACCCATCGCACAACGCAGCCACCCTCGCAAAGAGATGGAAAATACTCCCCCTCAAACACATTCCACTGAAAACGCCGTTCTGAATGCCAAGCTGGAACAGCTTTTTACGAGGCTCGACAGGATGATGTCTCTGGTAGAGACGCTAATGCAAGCAATCCTGCAGACGCGTTCTTCCTCCTCTACTCTCCACAATGGGAGTTCTTAAAATAGCCTGCTGGAACCCCAATGGGCTAAGCTCGAAAGCAAATGAGGTGATTGCTTTCATAGAGCTACACGAGATTGACATCCTCCTGTTGTCAGAAGTCCGTCTCTGCTCGCGGTCCACCCTCAGGATCCCCGGCTTCACCTTGCACAAAGCCGATCATCCGGACGACCAGAGACATGGGGGCGCAGCGATCTTCGTCAAGTCAGGCATAATCCACCAACTCTCTTTCACTCTTTCGGAAGAGCATATTCAAG